GATACTGCACAAGCAGGAGCGAGGCTCCGTCAACAATGCGCTTGAATCTGCAATCTGGTGATCAGGCGAGCAAAGGGCGAGCTGCCGGAGGTCATGAAACTCTGGCCGGCTGCTGACAAGTGAAATAGACCCTCAACGAGCGAGATGTGTGGAATGCGGATGATGCCTTATAAAGTGACCTCTTGAGCAATCCGGCCAGTGAGGGCAACGTGGACGCAGTACGCGACGTACATTTTTGGACTCCTGGGAAGGGGACGAACGCCGAGATTCCACTTCCTCCGAAGCCTTGCGCTTGTGACGAGACGATGAACGAGAGGAGAAGGAGAAGGCCTGGTGGAAACGGCCAACCGACGTGGCAAATTGGCGAAAAAAAGAAAGAGAAGAAGGTGAACATTAGCGTGGCACGGGAGGTGCATGCAGAGCGAGGCCTTGGGTATTTTGAAATCAAATCTAGGAATGGGATGCGGGAAATCATAGCGAGAAAGGAGGACCAGGCATAGGCTTGAGTTGGTCGAAGAGCAATACCAGGAAGACACAGATCTTGTAGACGAGCCATCGTTAAAAGAGAGCACTTATTGTTCGGGATTGAGGCGGATCACTCGAGCAGCTTTCTTTCGAGAGTGTGTGCTAGGAAATCAACGAACATACGTTGCACTAGACAAGCCGCTCAGGCACTAAGTAGGAGAGTAAATGAAAATGGATTTCGCCTTGTGATGTAAAAGCTATGTCGGGTGAGGGAGGGTGTTCCTCGGCGCCGCCAGCCGTGTAGACTTGCAAGCCCAAAAAAACGGTCGCAAATTTCGCGACGGATATTTGGGGGGAAACATATTGAGTCTCCGACCGATTCGCACTTTGCGGACAAATCAAAGGTATCGCGTGGGTACGGCGAGGCACATTGGGGCTATCACACGCGCCAGCTTGCCTCGGACGTGGCGAAAAGGTAGGGAGGGGAGGCGCGCGAACCCATTGTTTGGTTTCGTTCGCATTGTCGGCTGGGAGAATGATGCTTCAGTTTCGAAGTCTATTGGATGCGAAAGGGACGAATGTGGACATGTCTTCGGATAACCAAACCGTTGGCCGTCACATGTGGTTTGGGGCATGCGAAGATCCAGTAACGCAGCGTTACGCTTCGCAAAAGTACAACGGGAAGAGCTTTACACGGTGGGTTGGGGAGTAGTGTTATGAGTTGTAAAATAGAGTGCGCGGAATAAAGAATAACGAAGATGTGACTCAATGAACTGACAATACAATGAAGGCACGCGCTAATATAGTGGGTCAACCTAGCTAGGCAGGAACCTCGGGGACACGAGGTTGGGTGCAGGTTTGGCAAAGTAAAGCCGAAGGCGACGCGAGGTTGCTTCGGCAGCAAGCAAAGTGGCCGAACGTGCACATCCGAAAGTTGGGGTTGTACGCGGTTGAGTAAACCCCTGTAAGGAAAAGGGTTTTTCCTTACAAGTAGAATGTTTGTTGGCTTCAATGAATTCGATAAGAAAGCTGTTCAAGTAGGATATATTAGTCAGTTCCTGGGTGGGTACCGTATCGTATTACTAGGAAACATTGAGGTTATGGAAATAAAACATCCATAATGGTTATGCTCTGACGCTAAAATAAATATAGCTAATGCAAAGTGAAATACCAGCAGCTGTGGCTACCCTGCTTTTGTGTTGCGTGCTGCTGATTCCCATAATTCCTGCATACAATTCACCCCTTGTGAGGAGTGATGTCAGATGCAGTAAAGAAGTGTGAATGGAGCGGACCTACAGATACTATGTGCCAAGCAGGGCTGAAAATACAGACTACTGCTGACCTTTTTACTGGAATGGTTCACTTGAGCATGGGGCTGACTTGATATCGTAGTTGTGTGAATCAGAGATCGTGTTCCTACGGACCTACTGCCTCGTATCACACAACCTCGTATCAGATTCACGTCGAACCGCACTAAAACGCATCCAACTGCAGTTGAACACACTGAAGCGTATTCAACCACACGAAGCTGATACGAGGTGTAGAACTCGCGAACAGTCTTTTTTTTTTCTTCTTCTTTTTTTTTCTTTTTTTTTCTGCAGATGTTGTCATTTCTTGGCTAACCTTTATCCACGTAGCTGATTCCTTGCCTGTCACATACAGTAATTTGAGGGTACGGTGGCATGTACAAGTATATCTGGTACGTACAGTATACTAGTTTGGGTGCCTGGTGGCAAGTGCAATGCACCATGCGCTGAGACCACAAAGAATGACACCATACAAAGCAATCAGAGATACTACATCCAGCTTCTTACAAAAAAGTGTGCCTACTGCTGCCATATCTCAGCTGAGAAACCGAGTTGCTAGGTTTGGCCTTGCGGGGGAAAGCAATGGCCACAGAGTCAGGCGAGCCTACACGAGACCTAAGCACTACCTTTAGCTGGGACGCTGACTTTGAGCTAGCTCATCACAACCCATATCCTCCTGTATACACGTTTCGTCCCTGGAACGCCAACGCTTCTTTTCAACAAAGAGAAAGTCATTCTCACAGTGCCAGCTGCAGCTGTGTGAGATCCTGGTTTGAGAAGGTGCTTTGCGCGGCCACTGCAGAGTGCTAATTACACCGCGGGACGGGCAAGAGCATGTTGGGAAAACCTCGAATGAACTGCCCGCGAACGGCGCCACTCGGGTAGCTGTCTGTGCTGATGGTGCCGTAAAACTTGGTGGGATTCTTGTCGATTTTATGGATTAGTTCCTGGAAAGTCATCGACGTTCCAGGGACCATCGTTCTCCGCGTGCCCATGATCCAACGGTCCAGCTCAATCTGTGTGGGATTTTGAACGGTCCACGTGCCCTCAATGTTCCAAATGACGGGGCCGTTCTGGCCCTTGAAGCCGAGGTTGATCGATTGGTTGTTGGGGGGGAGCTGGCCCGTCAAATCGTGACCGTTGAAGTGCACGTGTGCGTTGAGCTGATTCTGAAACCTGCAGATTTGTTGAACGAGAGAAGGGTTAGGAATGAATGGGAAGGCGAAGGCGAGGAAATAAGAGGGAGAACAATAAGCGAGCGTGACAGTGGCGGAAAGGGTAACGGGAAGCGAGACGAAGAGAAAGAACGGTAGCCGAGAGGGACACGAGGGTGATGGAGCACGACAGGGGAGCACGAGAGTGATTCTTTGTCGATGGCAGTCATAACCGCCGGTTGCACATTCTGAGTCGACACAAAAGAAAACGAGGGTGATGGAGCACGACAGTGGAGCACGAGAGTGATTCTTTGTCGATGGCAATCATAACCGCTTGCACATTTGTCGACTTGCACCCCGATGTCGAAACGACGTCAGTCATGATCACCAGCACACGGGAACCCTGACGTAGATACGTGACGCACTCGGATCATCGAAGCACTCGATAGGGGCAGTGCAGCTTACCAGTACAAGCGGATCCAGAGATCGGCATTGGCGCCAGCATCGCCTCCCAGTGTCGAGCTGAGCACCTCGTTGGAGCTCATATCGGCACGCAGCACGCCTGAAAAGCACGCCATGGGAAGAGGCGGAGAAACGAGAGGGGGCGTTAGAGGGAGTTTCCACCGTTTTGTTTTGTCAGGGTTGACCAATGACAGACAGCAGCATTGACGATGCCCGTAGGCGGATTCCAAATGGATTTTTCGCTGTTTCACGACGATTTAGAGTAGTTCCTTCTCTTTGAATGCGTCCGGCACGTTCGAGTGATGTATGGGCACAGAAGAATGCGCATGGCGCTAGTTCAAACGGTTTAGGCTGACAGAGGAGGATTTAAGTCGAAATCTTGCGCAACGACGTCTGTGGCGCTGAGCGCAACGATGCCTAGGGCGTAATATAATATACGCGAGCGCTGATTGGCTAGTGAGCGCGAAATGCGGACTCACATCGTAGTCTTCCCGGGAACGGAAGCAGGCGGCCGAGGACGGGTTGCCTGAAAATTCTCGCGTCGGCGCTGGTAGCGAGGGCGACGACGAGAAAAAGCAGGAAGAAGCTTCTGGACGCCGCGTGCCTTGCCCACGCCATGGTGGACGATAGTCGCACGTGCTACTATAGTTCTGGGGTAGCTGCTGCAGGGATGCAGTTGGAAGAGTGATGGGCCGGCAAAAGCGTCTCTCGAGTCGATCGTTTTTTTACCACAGATTGTGCTGCTGAAAGATAAGAAGCTAACGGGTTTGATATATTTATGAGCAGCACGCCCTAGGAGGCAGGGACATGCCAGCAGAGAAGTTCGCGGCGCTTCACTGGTTTCTCCTCTCCTTCGTCCCCACCCAGACGCGGAAGCGCGTAAGGTGATATCTGGGAGGAAGGGAGGTGTAGCATGTGGGTGGATGAAATCGAAATTGAGGTGAGGAGATGAGGGGGGATGAGAGAAATTCCAATGTGCGGAGCTGTGTGAGGGCCATCGCGATTTGGTAATTTCGTGCACGAACTCGACATTTGCGGCTCGAGGCTGGGTCTTGGTTTTTCAGCGCACCGCCCAGTCTGGCGGTAATGATTCGCCTCCAGTTCCGTCGGCAAGCACTGTGCAACGGCAATTGCCAAGAAATGTACGGCAGTTCTTACAATATAACTATCGAACCCATATACTGTGAAGCAGTATTCCATAACGAAGATATGAACTGACAGCTCTCAGCTTCTGGTGCTGTGCTTTCAGCACTCCACACATTCGTGCGACCTCTTGCGAAAAGCAAGCATCATCGCGAATTCAAGAGGGCTTCGCTTCCCGCCATGGGGAATTTTTCCAACGAGGGCCACCGCGCGGCTCGACAGCCAATTTCCTGAACGAAACTCAATTCAAGAATCCCATTTCCGTAAGCAGAAGCTTGAAGTTGGAAGTGTCGTTTGGAAGGCATAGTAGGCGCGATTTATCGCAATCCCGTTGAACAGCAGTAGGGTAGTGCAAGCATAGTGGACTGATTTTCGTTATCTTGCAGTAAAATAGTTGTGATATCTCGGGACTGATCGCAGTAAGAGTTGAACTTGAATCGACGTGATAGAAACCCCTTGGATGAAGCCAATGGCCCGGAATGGTCTGCCAAGCTTGGGTAAGCAGTGGTTCCACAACAAATGAACCTCCTCGTACCTTTGCATCTCCCAGTTTTTCGACAGCACAATCACTGTCCCTCCTGCTCCGTTGCGTTTCTCTGCAGAAGTTGTGCTTTTCTGCCTGTTGGCGATTAGCATCGCCAACACAGCTCGCGCGATGGGCCCTTTCGCGAGAGGCAACACGTTCCCTGGAACATTGAGATGTGAGGCTTCCTTAATCATTGTTGTCCCCTGAAGCACGGCCTTATCATGACAGGCACGCACCCTTTGCAACGGCACATGCACCGCTTAGATAAGCACCATCAACGCCCGTTCCGGCGGGGAAAGAATCCTTGGCGTGGCACTCAACTTTCTGTGACAGTTATGTGGCATAGATATGTTCTCTTGCAGGACGCTTTGAGTTTTTATCATCACGCTAGGCAGCTCTAAACCTCCGTATTGATAGGAGACGACTTCTCTATCCTATATGCAGGTATATTGCGTGCAAATCTGGCGGCTAACGGCGTCGTTGGAACTAAGGGAGCGGCTAACTCGCAAGGCACGCTTGATCTCTACGTGTACAGGTACGGGTCGATGTGTTCGAAGTCACATTTGGAATCGAGTTGCTATTATCCTACGTGGGTACAGTCGTGAATCCCAAACACTGTTGTGTAGTATATTGTAGCGCTTCTTTCCAGTACCTGGAACCATCTTCCAGTACGCGTTAAAAGACGCTAGCCACCAAGTCGGGGTCTTCGGCCGCTCTATAATGCCACCGTGGTTTGCGCTGGTTTCGCCTTTGTCTTCTCCCACCATGCAGCTTCAGGAACCATATCAACGTGCGAGTGATTATTTTCTCTTACGGCCTTGACACAAACTCGAAGCCTCTCAACCAAACCATCAATTTCGGGCCCAAGGGAATGAATGGCGGATGGCTGTGGAACGTGACTGGAACGTGGGTGCCGCAGAGCGACAACCAGATGCAACTCGACTCGGTTCACACAAGCTAAAGGAAGGCGACCTCTTGGCGCGTACAAAAGCGTGTATAGGATGGTGAGAATGATAGACCGAACTCCGAAGATGTACTACGCAACTGTGACAACCGACGCCTTCCCTGAGGGAGCTATTCGCGGGCAGTTTTCACGTCATTTTCCGAAGCTGCTTGTGAACCGCCATGTTTGCTAGGAGAAGCTCTTATAGTTTGGCGATGCTCATTGTATAAATAAGAGAATCGTGTTCTTTCCCACCATCGCAATAATGTTTATTCTCTACTAATGTCTATAATAACGGGTGCAAATTGGATTTCTACACCATAAAAAAACAATGTTGGAACCTTATTTTTGTCACCGAATTGACGATTATGTTTATATTGATGATGTTGCCGCTATTCTTGTTGTAAACGAATCGCTGTATGCACTAGCGCAAATCTGGTTGAGTGACACGTCATCCACCGTCCAGCCGAGACACATTTGCGGCTTCAACGGGTGCGATTGCATCGCAACGTATTCGTGACTCGCGAAGGGTTACTGTGGGAAGTGTACGGCGAAGATCACCGACAGAGTTCGTCGCACATTCCGTACATAATCGTCGGCTGACTTTCGCCATTGGGGTTCCTCATCCGTGCCGACAAACACAGCTCGCAGCAAACCCCGACGATCGCAGAACACTGCGACGTGCGTGACTTCTCTGCTGAGCTGGGAGCATCGCACATTGGGCTGCAACAATCGTGTCGCGTCGCGTCGGAACGAACAGGCGCGAATTCACCTCGAATGTACTTGGGTGAAGAATGGGGAAGGTACGGCACTCGGATTTGGCCAAATTGCGCCTTCCACTCTCCACTTCCTTATCTCCGGAAAACCGACATCCATCAGCGATCATCTTAGACATCCTTCCACAACGAACCCAACTTGTACGAATCGCAAGTCCATAAAGGCATGCAACTTCACGCTCAATGCGTCTGATCAACTCTCACGCTCACACAACAATCTTCACGCCAAAAAAAAACTAGCGGCAGTCTGATCCTTGAGTTACTGGCTGACAACATTACCCAAGGTTGCCAAACCCGCAATACGCATCCTTGCCCTGATTCGACGACTATACAAAAAAGCCGTCGCTGCTTCAGAGATAATGGCGCACCACCTCAGGCGCGACCTTCCAGGTAAGGCAGAGAGGTCAAAATAAGTGCGCTCTTGTGGAGCGCTCTTGTACTCACTATATACTGCTCCGTTATTCTGCGCTCTTGTACGAGCTTGTACATAACAGAGGGACCCGTTCTTACACTGCCCTCCGAGACGCCATTGCAGCCACTTAGCCCGTTCCAAAGCTTACATCTCCTGCTCGTTATTGCCTCCGAAAAGTAATTTCATACCTTTCTTTGCTACTGCGCTCTGATCTGCAGGCTTGCTGCTTCTACTATCTCTCTTCGTCGCGACAGCCTCCGCATTTAACGGGGTCGGACCCGTCGAACGAGTCGCCCCGCCGCCTGGGATTTTAAGATGTATGTGCGGCCCATTCTCCCCTCGTTCATAGTAGAAACAAAATGAGCTTTTGGTCGTCTTCCCCGTGATTTCGGTTTTTTTTTATTCTTCCCATTATGCATTCCCTTTCCCCTGCGATTCCTTTTCCGAGCCCCTATGGTTACGCAACCGGCAATCCGAGGCCTCTTATATCGAACAGAACCCAATTTTGGCAAGTTTGTGTTAGATTAGGAAGGATCTGCCACGTGGCTTTCCGGATTCCGCCTTTCGGCGTATCTGCATTCCGCGCATCCCCTTCCGCGTTCCGTTCCGCCTTCATTCTTCCGCTCAACCCAATGTCGACCCTTACATTGTCACTTGTCTGTTGTCACACCCCTCTCTATCGTCACACGCAGGTACCTTGCGGGTTGATTTGAAGGACAATAACGTTATGAGCTCGTCGCTCGGCGGGGATCTCGGCGGCCATGGCGATCTCAACATTTACGTCTACAAGTAAGACGGCATCTAGAACCACATTCGAAACGCTGCAATCGCCGCGCCTCGTACGGCCTTCATCCTCCCATATTTGACTTCCCCGTTCCCCGTTCCCCCGTTCCACTCCCCTAACCTTGATTTTCCCTGTCTCCGCTCCCGGTAAATCCCGAACTTCCGACGTCCTACTTTTGCGGCGTTCCGCAGGTATCAAGGAGGGTTGGACGTCCATATCAGCTACAACACGCACGAGCTTTCCCTCCCAATGCCGCCTCTCAACCAATCCATTAACCTCGGGAGACGTGGTGCGAACGGTGGCGTGGTGTGGAACATCGAGGGCACGTGGACGCAACGAAACGAGGATCAGTTGGAGCTGAAGCGCGTGTTCAAGCGCGCGCCGAGTGTCATTGTCCCCGGTACAGGCTTGTCCGTTTACAAGATGGTGAAAATGATTGACCGGAATCCGGGCAAGTACTATGCAACAATTGCTACCGACATGTTCCCGGATGGAGCGATCCGCGGGCAGTTTTTCCGCGGCTTTCCAAGCCAGCTAATCCCTAGGCCCGCATGCTAGCACCTAACCTCTCCACGTGGACTGGGCGCGGACCGCTGCAATATTAATAAGTGCACTTAGTGACTTCTACATTGGGAGTCATTAGAGACCAGGAGGACACACCTCCTGCGTGGCTCATTCATTTCAGCCTGTGCTGAGATTCTTGTTGACTAGAGTTTAGTTCCGACTGAGGGCGCGTAGGGTAGTCAATTGCTATTTAAATGCTTTGTGTAAGCTATTTAAATGCTTTGTGTAAATGCTTTAAATGCTATCTAAGGAAAATGTAAGCAGTTACCGTAAAAAAGCTTATGCATCCACCGCTTTATGCTGGGCCTTGTGATTGTACAGTAAGCGCATGGGAAAGCCTTCCAAATAGACCAGTTGAAAGGAAAGTACAAGCCCACGAGCTTTTACCTAGCTACTTTGCTATACTGGGAAACGAATTTCTCTATAAGGGGGTTGACTATGTGAGGAGCTTCGTCCTGAGGGCAATGGCCCACCCCTGGGAACTCCTCAAAACCGACCACACAGGGGAAGTCTTTCAATGTCCTGCCTTGCTCCACTGGCTCCCATGGGTCTGCCTGGCCCCACCCGAACAGCACAGGGCACTGGAATGGGGGAAGGGAGGGAGTAGGAGGGACAGAGAGAAAACGGGAGCGTGGGGATAGAGCATTGTGAGAGAGGCCTCACAGCGTACAGCGTACCCCATTCCCTTGTGCACTGTGCCCCACTGATCCAAGTGGAGAGTTTTTGAGAATTCTCTAAAACTCCCTGCAACGTACAGTGTACCCCATTCCCTTGTGCACCATGCCCCACTGATCCAAGTAGTCGCCCTTGGCCCACACACACCCCTGGGAACTCTTCAAAGCCCACCACACAAGGGAAGTCCCCTCTCTCCGTGAAATTTGAAGTGTTTTGAGACGTCTCAAAACACTTTATAAATTTCACACGCCTTTGCCCACACCCCTGGGAACTCCTCAAAGCCCACCTCCCCCAAGCCCACCTGAACTTAGGCAGCTGATCTTCTGGCAGGGCCCCCCGTCCGAGTAGCAGACAGAGGGAACAGGTACGGATATTCTTTCACAGCTAAAGGCTCGAAATCCGCACACAGCCGACCCCCAAGCTCACCCACCTACACTCTGGGTAGCAGATCCTCTGGCAGCGGGCCGCCCGAGTAGCAGATAAAATCCAGAAACACATCCACCGCCCCTGGCTGCAACCCAGGCGCGCCTCACAGTTGTCAAGCGAACCTCTCACTTTCCCCACACCCACCTGCACTTTGGGTAGCGAATCCTCTACCTCTAACATTCACACAGTTAACCACCCCCTCCCCCCCCAACCCCACCCCTCTCCTCCCCTCCCTCAAGCTTCCCCCACACCTACCTGCACTTTGGGTAGCAAATCCTCTGGCAGCGGGCCGCCCGAGTAGCAGATAAAATCCAGGAACACATCCACCGCCCCTGGCTGCAACCCGGGCTTGAGAATCAAATCTACCAGCTCGTCGGTTACTGTAGCAGGGTCGCCGTAACACTGGCGTAACACGTTACGCACGGCGCGTGGCGTGGCGACCGAGGCGAAGAATTGCTCTCCGAGGGAGGAGGATCGGAGGGTGGATTGGAGGAGGGAAACGAAGGGGCGGGCGAAGAAGGGCTGCTTGCGAATGTGGAGGTTTCGGAGGGAGATGTTGAGCAGGAGCAGACCGCGGGTTTTGGATGGGTGGGAGGCTGCTGCTTGCAGTGCCACCACCCCTGGGGATGAGGGCAAAAAGGGAGATGAAGAGGGGGAGAGAGGGGGAAAGAGAGAGGAAATCAGCCAGGAAAACGAGGCAAGCGCTGGATTCTAAGGGAGGTGGAGCGGAGGGTGGATTGGAGGAGGGAAACGAAGGGGCGGGGCGAGGAAGGGCTGCTTGCGAATGTGGAGGTTTCGGAGGGAGATGTTGAGCAGGAGCAGACCGCGGGTTTTAGATGGATGCATGGCTGCTGCTTGCAGTGCCACCACTCCTAGGCGTGGGGAGGGAGGAGAAAGGGGGTGTGGAGTGCCAAGGGATGGAAGATAAGAGAAGAATGATGAGGAGGAGTAGAGGGTGCTAGGATGTGCTACGGTGGTCTTGACTCATGTTAGGGCTGCAGCCCTTCGAACATGAGTCAAGGTGACCCTTGGGATACCGTGTGGAGTGCCAAGGGATGGAAGATAAGATAGGAATGAGGAGGAGGGGTAGAGGGTGCTAGGATGTGCTACGGTGGTTGCATGCCCCCCCGCACACTCACCCAATCACGCACTAACTCACTCATCCACCCACCCACTCACCTCCCAACCACTCATTCATACCCTCACCTATTCACTGACTCTCTCACTCACCCATTCAATCACTCTCTCACTTACCCCCTCACCCACTAACCCGTTCACTCACTCTCTCACGCACCTCCCACGGAGTTGGTGACAATGAAAGCCTCCTCGCCCACCACCTGGTCAATGAAGTCAACGGCCTGCTGCCCCCAGTTTTCAAACGTGTACTCCGACTCTCCGACCCCCTGGTCCTTCCGCTTCTCCTCTTGTTCCGTCTGCTGCTCCTTCTTAATCCGGTAGCTAGGAGCGGGTTTATCCGAGTACCCGTACCCCAGCAGGTCGATCGCAAACACGCGGTGCCCCGATGCGCCCAGCGCTCGCAGCGCGTGCCGCCAGTGGTCGCTGCTGGCGCCGAATCCGTGAATCAGGAGGACTGGCGGGCCCTGGGAGCCGGATTGCTGGTACCTTATTGAATGGCCGCACCACTGCCAGGTGCTGAAAGGGGGAAAGGGGAAGACGGGGGGAGAAGGGTGGAGGGAGGGGGGGAGAAGAGGGGGAAAGGGAACTGGAAAGAGAAGGATTGCTCCCAGCCCTCGCAGCGCGTGCCGCCAGTGGTCGCTGCTGGCGCCGAATCCGTGAATCAGGAGGACTGGAGGGCCCTGGGAGCCGGATTGCTGGTAGCGGATAGAATGGCCTCGCCACAGCCATGTGCTGAAGGGGGAGAGGAGGAGGCGGGGTAGGGGGCGAAGGGAGGGAAGGAGGACTGGAGGGCCCTGGGAGCCGGATTGCTGGTAGCGCGGATGGGCGATCGGGGGGAGGGGAGGAAGGGTGAAGAGCTTCAGGAGTACAACACCCTCACCCCTCTTGAGACTTGAGGCGCCTCAAAACTCTTGCGGCGCCTCAAAACTCTTCCGGCGCCTCAAAACTCTTGCGGAGTCTCAAGCGGACCCTCACCACTCCATCGATCCCCTCACATTCTCACTCACTTCCTGTCTCCCTCACTCCCACATCCCTTCACTCCCTCACTCACTTCCTCAGTCGCTCACAACCTCATCCCCTCACTCCCTCACTTGCTTTCTCGTCCCAGATTCAGCCCCTTCTTCCCTCACTCACCGCGTTTCCACCACAGGTCGGTCCACGTCGGATTCAGACCCTGCCGCGTCGGCAACCGCCGCGCTCGCTCCCACTTCCCCTTCCGATTCCCCTTCCCCCAGCAGATCCTCCACCGCCTCCGCCGCTACTTCTTCCGCCAGCGCGCCTTCCGCCCCCAGCCCCACTGGCGGGCGCTTCAGCGACGCCGCCGCTACATTTCCGCGCCCCCCACTCCCCCGCATGCGCGCTGAATCCGCCGGTTCTCGCGGCGGAATTCTCCCTGACAGCGCTACCGCCGCGTGATATGTGCGCGCACTGGCGGAACTTTGCGGGAATGGGGCAGCGGAAAGGGCGGACCGGGAGACAGACGTCGCCGGCTGCGACACAAGCCGGGATGCATTTCTGACCGTTGGATGCGAGAGAGTGAACGGGCGCGATGGATGGGGGAGGAGGAGCGACAGGTCCATAGCGACTGCGATGTGGGTCAGTCGCGGCGCGTCTGCCTTAACTTGATGGCGGCTCGACTGAGCTGCCTGACCGCCTATTGTTTGGTAAAGCGGTCCAAGCGTGCCCAGCTAACTATAGAGCCGCAACTAACGAGCAGTAGTGACTTAGGAATTGCGTTTAGCGGGTAAACTCGAAATGAATGTGCTGGGAAATGTGAAATTTCTTAAGTCCTGCTGGCGATGACGTGGCGCAACGACGTTGAATAGGAGTCCGCGACTTAGGGTACCACGTGCTACACTGTCCTCCACCAAGTTGATGTACTCGGTAGGAAGAGTCCTGATTTCGATACTGTACAATTAGGCTGGAAATTGTTTGAGATAAAACTGTTAGCACGGTATTTTCTAAAACATCTCCAACATCTCTTCGATTGATTTTTCCCTTTTGAGTTCGATGGGCGGTGAGGTGAGATGGTCAGGGGTTTCCCAGCGTGTTTTCATGAATCTAGAACGATTCAGTGGGGTTTCGATTCGAGCTAGACATGCCGACGATTCAATATGCTTCACCTCTGCCTGTTCGCTGCAATGCCGAATCGCCTCGCCGACATGCGCGCAGGCACCACGTCGTTAGTTACTTTTGTCCGTCGCGGTCGACATCTCCGACCTCGTACCCGGCGGGGATTTGGACGTAGGGAGGGACCATAACCCACCTAGTTGCAAAGGAGAGTGAGGTACATTCTCCACGTACATAACGGTGCATAACGGCCCATCTTCGAGATTTCTGCGCGTGTAAGGTTTCCAAGCGCGTCGCCTCGAATCGTGTGAATTCTTGAGCCGTTTTTTTACCTGCAAGTAGCGTTTCTTACTGGAAGATTCAGTACCTTACGAGATTTGCTACCTTACAGGTGATACTCGCGGGTGCGATTCCTTGCACGATCACGCGGAACGGCTCTGCGTGAAGCGTCGATGGCGCGATTTGCTTTCCGCGCGCCCTCGTTCCGCGCGCCCTCGTTCCGCGCGCCCTCTTTCCGCGTGCCCGTCCTGTCAAACCTCGCGCTGCTGCTAGCCGTCGCCCTCGTCGACGTCGCGCCGATCCACGTCAGCAGCAGCCCGCACAGCCCACATGTGGCACGATGCTCGCCGATCTGGCAGACACGTGGCCGTCCTTGCTCCTGGTTCGAGGTATGCCGTTCGTGGTACCGCTTCCCACCTACCGATCTATCTACTACCGATCCCTCCCAGTCTTAAACATGAATATCGCTTTGTTTGTTTAATTTCCCTTTGCAGGGCTGGTACGTGCGTGTAGTGGATCCCTCTACAGGAGGCAGCTATGCTGCAATCATTGGCTCCATGCCTATAGCGAATCGCTCTATAGCGATGCTGCTCAGCTGCCACCCCAAGAGGAAGGGAGGGCGGGAAAGCTGTCAGGTGGGGGAAGGGCGGAGAGCGATGAGAGAGGAGGGTGGGGGGAAGCAGGAACAGGAGCAGGAGCAGGGGACGGGAGAGTCAGAGGGGGGACGGAGTGGAGGGGCAGTTGGGGAAGGGGCATCACAGGCGGGAGCATGCGGGGTAGGATCATCTGGGGAAGGGCCTATCGAGTACGTGATGGGGCATGATGCAGTTGGTGGCACAGAGACAGGGGCATTTGAAGCCGCAGCAGGATTTGAAGCAGCAGCGGGTGGAGGATCAACAGGTGGAGCATTCGAGACGGCAGCATGTGAAGTGACTCTGATTGAGAAGATGGAAATAGCGGTGAGTTGACGGGTATGGATTGAGAGAACATGGTGTTAATTCGATGGTCCCGAAGCGGCACTGGGTGGGTTAACAGGGGGGGATGTGGGATGGGAGCATGCGAAGTGGGGCTGATTGAGAAGATGGAAATTGCGGTGAGTGGATGGGAGTGGACACGTATGGGTCGAGACAGCCTGGTGTTATTCGATAGTTCAGAAACAGCGGGGCAGAGGGATCGGCAGGAGGAGCATTCGAGACAGGAGCATGTGAAGTGACTGACGCTGATTGAGAAGATGGAAATAGCAATGAGTTGACAGGTATGGATTGAGAGAGCATGGTGTTAATTCGATGGTCCCGAAGCGGCACTGGGTGGGTTAACAGGGGGGGATGTGGGATGGGAGCATGCGAAGTGGCTCTGATTGAGAAGATGGAAACAGCGGTGAGTGAACGGCATTGGATCGAGGCTACAGGAGCAGTGATTGTTTGTTCCGATGGTTCAGAAAGAGCGGTGGGGGAGTTAGCAGGAGGAGCATGTGGGATGGGAGCATGTGGGATGGGAGCATGTGAGGTGGCACTAGTTGAGGAGATAGAGATAGCGGTGAGTGGATGGAAAATGGGTCGAGAGTTGAGGCAACGTTTTATCGCTTTGTGGATTCTTGAGAAACAGCATTGTTTCGTGTTGTTTGAGTCGAATCGAAACACGTCTATTCAAGAGCTATTGATTCTCGCCCTCCTCCCTTCGACTCAAACAACACGTCCCCAGATAAGCACGCACCCCCCCAGGCCCCTCTCCTTCTGCTCATTCAATCGACAACCCCCCCTCCAACCCCCATCCCTCTTCCCTTTTCCCCTAGCGGCCCAGCATAACAGTGGGCACGCACCCTCCCAAGCCTGTCTCCTCCGACCCGTCAGACTCAGCCCCGCCTGTGTTCGAGTGGCGGGTGGAGGGCCATGGGTTTCTGATTTCTCGTGGGTTCAACCACACGGAAGTGGATATCAGAGTGGGGGGGTCGAGGCTGCAGGCTAATCTGACCAACCAGGTGTGCGTGTGTGCCTGTGCATGTGCGGGCATGCTTTCTAGGATTATCCGGTAGCTTGTGTGCCGGTGCATGTGCATGTGCATGTGCATGTGCATGTGCATGTGCACCCCCCTGTGTGCGATTACGTGTTCTCTCTCTGCCACAGCGCGCCGAAATGCATCTTTTCCCTGTCCACTTGTTACGTCAAACTTTTCCCAGCGCATTCCTTGGTTTGAGTCGACTAAAAATCGTCTCTTGCAGCAGTAGAGAGTGGGGCCTCGCTTCCCAGTGCTGGATTCAGACATGTCTCAGTGAGCTGCGTGCATGCAGTACGCTTAAAGCAAAGGAAAAACAGCGGTAGATTTCCGCTCTGTGTAAAACTAAGTGCTCAGAACGATTTCAGAACCCAAAAACGTCTCTTGCAGGAGTGGAGAGTGGGTCCTCGCTTCCCAGTGCTTCCACCCTTCCCTCTTCCTCACTTGCTCATTTCATCTCTCTCCCTCCCTCCACTCTTCCTCTCTTCCCCTCTCCTTGCAGCCAGCACCTGGGAGCCTTTTGATTCCAGGGCAGGCCCAGAGGGTTGGAGCTGGTTTTTTAGAATTCTCAAAACCCTTCCCGCCAGCACCTGAGAGCCTTTTGATCCCAGGGCAGGCCCAGGGGGTTGGGCAGCCGAACCAGCCCCATTCCCTGTCCCTTCCTTCTCTTCCCGCACTTATCCTGTCTTTCTCTCTCTCTTCCGTCTCTCCCTCTCCTCCGCTCTCCCTGCCTCCAGCGCCACTGGAACCCGTCTGATCCCGGGGCAGGCCCAGAGGGGTGGGCGGCATCAGTGTCACAGCTGATTCCTGGAGGAATGGGCGAGCTGCCGTGCCGCTGGTTTGTCAACAGGTGGGCGGTGTTGGTTTGAATTAGTACGCATTGTCAGTCCCAACCAAGGTCTGGCTGGAGGGATGGGCAGCATCAGTGACACAGCTAATACCCGGGGGATTGGGCGAGCTGCCATGCTGCTTGTTTGTCAACAGGTGGTTGGGTGCTATGCTTGCTTTGTCAACTCAACAGTTGGCAGCACAGGTGTCTCAGCTGATACCCGGGGGATTGGGCGAGCTGCCGTGCCGCTGGTTTGTCAACAGGTGCGCTCATGCAGGAGAAGTTACACGCTGCATTGGATGAAGTAGTGAAACGATGAGGAAGAGGTTGAGAGTGAGGTGAGCGGCACACGGTATGGACGGCATTGATTCCTTACCGCGTGCTGTGCTGCTCACGTGTAGAAAGGGTGTTTTTGAGACGTCCCAACACACGGTATGGATGGCATCGATCCCTTGCCGCAAACTTGCTTTAACTCACTCTCGAACTCTGCCTCATCGTTCCACTGGTTCTCTGCTTCTCCAACGCAATATGTAGCTTCTCCACCTCTTTCCGCTTCTGGAATGAGAGTGAGAATGTGGAGAGGAGGCGGTGGAGGCGTGTGGTGTTATTTCCCAGGACCAACAGTGTTCCTCTTCGTTCTCCCATCCATTGCAGCCTGGGTTCAACCGCCTCGTACCGCTTCTGGAATGAGAGTGAGGGGGTGGAGGTGGAGCGGAGGGGGTGGGCGCACGAGAGTTCTTTCATAGTGCAAAAAGTCTTTCAATTCCTCTACTGCTTCCCTTTCTCCTCCTCCCCACTTCCCTTGCAGCCTGGGTTCAACCGCCTCGTTCCGCTTCTGGAACGAGAGTGAGGGCGTGGAGGTGGAGGGGAGGGGGTGGGCGCACGAGGAGAAGAACTGGGGGGCGTACTTCCCTGCAGGCCACGTGTGGATGCAGGGCATGTCATCTGATAACACCGTACAGGTGAGATGAAACCGTACCGGAAGAGAGATGAAATTGTGCTTGTAAGTTGACTGGTTGTGTATCTGCAGACTGTATGGAAGGAGCACGCCAGTTTCGGAGTATGTTCCTGCCTGTACCTGCCTGTATCTGCAAATTCGGATTTCAAGCAACTAAACAGTACCCGACTACCTGTGTTTTTCGCCTTGCCTCCCTCCCCTCTTCCCTCGTCCTTTCTCTCAGCCTCCACACCCCGTACTTCTAAGCTGACTTCCGATCCATTGGCCCCCTCACCTCCTTCACCAGTTACCCCACACTCTCCTCGTCCATCCTCCTTCGTCTATTCTCGTTATTCACCTCGCCTTCCCCATGCTTCCCTCTCCCTCCCCCATCCCCCCTTTCCCTCCCCCCATCCCCCTTCCCTCTCCCCCACACCCCCTTCCCAATGTCGACCATTTTCTTCTCCACAGCTGGTGGGAGCGGGAGCGTTTTTCCGCTTCGCCTCCCTCCCCTCCCTCCCCTCGCCTCTCGTCCTCTCGCTCGGCCTCCGAACCGCACACCACTCCCTCGACTTCCGATCCATCGACCCTCTCACCTCCTTCTCTCCCCCCACCATCGACCCCTGCTCCGGCCACTTCTCCCTCGCCGCCCGGACGCCGACCGCCGCCCTGCGGGTGCGGGTGCATGCGCCGCCATCGTCTTTTAGCGGGGCAGTGTGGATGCCGAGGGCTGATGGGGATTGGGATGCGACTGGGCGGGAAAGCTTCAGTGCTGTTATGGAGATTGAGCTGGAAGTGTGGGGGGATGGGGAGGGGAAGGGGAAGGGGAAAGGGAAGGGGAAGGGGGAGGGGGAGGGGGAGCGGGAGGGGCTGGGGGAGGGGAAGGGGGAGGGGAAGGGGGAGGAGGGGAAGGGGGATGAGGAAGGGAGGGGGAGTTCGGGAGGGGTGACAGGGGGAGGATGGTTGGTGGGTGGAGATAGTGGGTTGGTAAAGCTGGGTAAGTACCTGTGGGGTGTTGTTTCTAGGTGGATAGGAGTGCGTAGTGGGAATGATGCAAATTGGGTATATAGATACACAATCTATAGCGCAGCATTGGAATTTGCTGGGGAGTACGAATGTCAGCCTAGGATGGAATAGATAGCTTTGTTGCATAATTTTTTCTTGGATGATTGTCCAGAATTTAGATAGACATTCAGGGGGGGATTTTTCATGTGTAATGTATTACGATTTAAAAGAGTGAGTGAAGTGTAGAGATGACTTGTTTTTGCTTTCAGAATGAAGTAGCTCTATATGGATTCTGTGATAGTTTATACTTGTAACATGCTTGTACAAGCTGGTCTTGGGTCAATCGTACACGTTGATGCGTTATTTCATTCAGAGAACAAGGCCACGTCAACAAAGCAACCTCACAACTGCATCATAGGTCGGTGACTCGATGACGTGAAAATTCGTTCTCAAGAGCGGCTCCGTCAACGTCACACCAAGCTTCCAGAAATGCCGCAACGAGCCGCATGGAACTGAACTGAATGCAAGCTGAGAGGGGGAAGCAGAGCACCGAGGGAACAGCGTGGGTGAAAGGAAGGCCCCCCATGGCCTGTTGTTTCGGGGCTTTACGACTATTGGCGGAACCAGAAGTGATTGCCCCCCCCACGTCCTTCCGACAAGATGCAGCCTGCCTCGACTCACAATTCCACGAGCACGAACTCCTCAAATTCATTCGAGGGCGACTCAAGGTGAACTTTCTTGATTGAATATGCGCGTTTTTTTGCTTCTTCTTTGCTTTCATCACCCTGTCCCACAGAGTTAACATTCAGACACGCATCGTATTGAGAAATGCGAGATGGAAGAACTTTATTCTTGAGACGACACGATAGTCGATTGGTCTTGCTAGATTATGAAAGCGCAACTCATCCGCAATTGAATTTCAACCATCAGAGGTATCATCTGTGGACATCCCTATATTCTGAAAAGGGATTGCTTGCCCTGTTGCGATGACGACAGTCCGTTTCGTCCTCCGTGGCGGTGGCGCGCAACATTATATCGTCGTCGTCGCGTCGCTCGTCCTGCTGCTTCTCGCCGATGGGCCCGCCGCGACTCTGATTCTACCCTACGTTTTGCCCTACCCTGGCCTTCTGAAATGTGCGCGCCGTCGCCCTGCTATGCTTCTTTCAACTTCAGCCCCCCCCTCTCATTTTATCCGTCACTCTCGTTTCCACTTTTGGTCTCGTCCCTTACGTTTCCAATTCTTCTCCTTCTCTCGTTTCACTTTTCTGTGTCAGCTCCTGCGGAGAGTGGAGTCCTCTCGTCTCTACCCTCCTGTTTTCTGATTGACTGCTTCGCTCGCGGTTCCGAGGAGTGACAGAGTCCTGATCAGAGTCCTGATCAGCGGCTCGAGCCGCGCTATCCGGAGCCATCTTAGTCGGCGATAGTCACCCCAAAAAGTATACAGTGAAAAGTCCCAACTTGGGACAGATGACCAACTTGAGCCATCTGTTGAACGGATGACCAACCGAGTTTGCGTCGAAGTGCGCCCATATGCACGTGTCTCATGGGCAGTCTTGCACCATTCTGCGCCCCAATGTGTGCAGGCGCACTCACGGCGAATCTAGAGGCGGATCTGGCGCCTGGCGGAGGGGAGCGCGCAGCCGACGCGCGGCTCGACATCCTCGTCTACAGGTGAGGGCCTCTAAAGAACCAGAAGCCTTCGTTTTACTCCCAAATCCGGGATGCACGCGGTGGTGTCCGCGCGTCCTCATCCGATGACATTATTCGCACTAGTTTCCGTCCACATGAGCGTTCCATCCCCATGTGTTTCTTCAACCCCCTCCCCATCCTTCCCTCAGCTATCGTGGCAAGACAAACGTGAAGGTGCACATTCACTATGAGAGCCCATCCGGTGTAGCACCCACAGGCCAGTCCATCCACAAGGGCCAAATAGGCAGCAGCAGTGAGCCGATCTGGAACATTGACGGCGATTGGACGGTAGAAGATCCCGGCGAGTGGGACCTATCATTGTGGTACATGGGTGCGCGGAAGGCTATGCCTGCAGGGTCATCTAAGTCGGTTTATTATATGGTGAAGAAGATAGACCGGGCATGGTTTAGGAGGTCGTTCTACGTGCTGGTAAAAACTGCAGCGTACCCTAATGGTGCACTGCGGGGACAGATTAGACGAGCTGTTCCGTTTAGTCTGATTCCTTGGTCACGTTGTTAGTATTGTGGCTACTTAGTCTGTATATAATGAGTATCCGTCATCTTAATCTACTGTAATAAACCAGCTGCCATTTCCAGCCTTGCTGGGAGAGATCTCTTCATGTTCCGTACAATTGTTGTTTCACCTGCACAGAATTCTATGTCGGCCTGCCATCAAGAAGCAACAAAACATAATTTATTTCTCATGAGCATTTGTACCGTCATCACCCGGATATAACCCCAGGCCTATGTTACACCCATGCGGTTATGATCGTACTAGTGGGCTTATAGCCGGTTGCCGATTATAAGCCCACCCCAATTTCTGTCAATCTTCGTATAAGCGCACCCAATGAATTCTGGTTTGTTTTTGTAGCGAAATCGCCACTAACGCGCCTAAACGAATCGTCACAGACGTGCCTGACGAAATCCCCCCTGGCTCGCTTGGCAAAATTGCCACAGGGAGTGCACGTGCGCGAAATCTGCAACATTTGAGCAGGTGCTGACTGGGATTCTTGACTGTACGACACATTCTCGGAACTTTTCAGCAGCGATCCTCTTTGTGTTAGCATCGATTTAAATCGCCAGGGTGAAATCTACATTCCAGTGTTATAAAATCAAATTTCCATAAGTGTTATTTATTTACCCCATGGGGTTATAAAATTTACCACATTATAAGCCTACACACACCATTTTTCCAGGTTTTTTTACACCCCCACCTGGGGGTATATCCGGGTGATGACGGTATTTGCTAGTTTAGAATAGTTCGAAGTGAAGTGTTTCCATACCGGACTCGAGAACTTCCGGACACAGTAGACGTGGCAACACATATGGTCTGTCCAATAAGCCAGCATCTCGTCAGCATGGAAAAGGTCGGTTCACCGCCAAATCGGTGCAATGCAGCCAGGCGCCGTCATTCCCGCTGTCGGAACCCTAAGACCCCTCGTCCACGTCAGCAATCAAAGGCTTGGCTCAATGCGACGCGTCACATTCTCGACTTGATCCCTGAATTTCCAGCAAGCGAACATCAAACCTGCCAACATAAATTGGCCCCTCTTCTCTTTCTCGGCCACAGCACTCCCGCAATCGCCGCTAAACGCGTTCCAACTTTCTAACAATTGACTCCAAGCAAAATCGCATTCACGAGGGCGAATTCCTGCTGACACAGCTTTCGCGACATCGTTTCTTCCTCTCAATCTCAGAACTTCCCTGAGTATACCTGGTTACATAACTCGATTGCGACGATGGCCTTCAAACGAGTCCAGTTCCCATCGGGTGAGGGTTTTTTTCTTCCGGAACAATCATCCATTCAGCCTGGTTTTCAGAAGCCCATCTCTCTTTCCTGACATTTGCTCCACTCGTCCCATCCCGTACAGGCTTCCTTCCCGTTATCCTCATCGCATCTATCGTCGTCCGTAGCACTTGCGCCGCCGATCATGGATTCAGAATTCAGAGCGCCACGTTCAACGGTAGTAACTTGGAGTCAGCGGCGTTTGCTGCGACCAAGACTCGCACATCTAGGAGGCTCGGCATCCTCCCGTTCCCCGGCTTTCTCAAGTGTAAGTTCGAAAATTCCAGACTCAATCCGCGGTTCCGAACCGCATACATCACGCCATAGAAAAAACTTCAGTAGCTTTTTCTTAAGTATACGGCAGCTGTTAGTATTTGCGGTCGCGGTCGCAGTTCCTTGCTGATATGCACGGTCTCCACCAGAAAACGTCTCCTCCGTTCTCCGCTCTACTACTTCTGATTTATTGTAGCACGGCAAAGCGAACGCGTGCGCATGTGGCGCCTAATGTTTGGGCAGGTGCGCTGGTGGCGTTCGAACGCGGACGTGCAGCCTATCTTCGGGGGGACACAACGCGGACGGCTTCTGAGACGTCTCAATATGCTTCTGTTGTGCCGTGCCGTGCTGTGCTGTGCTGTGCGGCTCTGTGTGGTGCTGTGCGGTGCTCGTGTGTGGCAGGCGCGCTGGTGGCAAATCTGAACGCAGGCAATGTGCGGTCCATCCTTGGGGAGATCCCGGTGCGGACGGCCTGGCACTCATTCAAGTGTACAGGTGAGCGGCGCGGGGGATCTGATTTCGAGAAAATTGCTGGCTTATAGTATATTGGAGGATCCTGGTGCGGATGGCGTGGTGCTGTTTACTAAGTGCACGGGTGAATTCATTTGGCGCTGGAAATTTCTGTGGTGAAGACTTTATATACTTATGCCTCTCATCCCCTTTCCTCTACTCCTTTTCTGTCCTCCCAACCACTCCTCCTATTCCCTTCTCTCCTCCCCACCCCTTCCTCTCGCCTCCTTCTCTCATTCTCGACCCCTTCTCTCTCAAAAGGTACAACGGGCAGACCAACGTGAACATTCGCCTGCGAGCGCACGCCCTCCCTGTCCCCCTGTCATTCCGGCGTATGAATCAACTCAAAAGTCTTTCAGCTCTCTGTTTCCCGCCCACTCCCCCCCTCTAAAAGGTACAACGGGCAGACCAACGTGAACATCCGCCTGCGAGCGCACGCGCTCTCCTCCTCCCCCATCGCCCAAACCGTCAACAAGGCCTACTCAGACAGCAACGGGCTGCCTGCGTGGGTGGCATTACCTATAATATCTCATCCCCTTCTTGTCTTCCTAACACCTCCTCTCGTCCCCTCCTCTCCTTCACCCAACTCCCCACCAACAGGTACAACGGGCAGACCAACGTGAACATTCGCCTGCGAGCGCACGCGCTCTCCTCCTCCCCCATCGCCCAGACCATCAACAAGGCCTACTCCGGCAACAACGGGCTCCCCGTGTGGGTGGTGTCAGGGCAGTGGTCGCGAGACAACAGCAACGACGTATACACACTGCAAAAGTGGTACTATGAGGCTAATAAGAAGTACCCTCCTGGGTCTACTAGTTCCGTGTACTCTATTGTTCGGGCGATGGCCGGGGATCCGAGGCGGTACTATGCAGTGGTGAGCTCTGTGACCCGGCCGCTAGGGGCGATCAGGGGGCAGTTCAGGAGGACCCTGCCGTTTTCGCTGTACCCGTGGAATCCGTGCTAGAGTGGCTTTAAGCGGGGCCTCTTGGGATTTTATAAGCTGCTGTTCGTGCTGCTCCCATGGACCCCATGCTAGATTTGCTTTGCGTGGGGCCTGGCCTTTTAGGGACTCAGACTGCCGCTGTTCCTGCTGTACTATGGAACTGTGCTATAGTAGCGGTGCTTCTAGAAAGCCACATGATGTGGAACCGGGTAGATGTCAGTAGGGAGAGTGTTGCAGAGCAGGAGTGCCTTCGGATAATGTGAGTGAGTAGATTCTACTGGGCAGTTTGTTGGATAAATGGCTCCGTGCTAGAATCCCGCCCCTGGATCCACAGTGCAGAGGAGGGTTCAATAGGCAAAGTGTTGCAAGGTACCATATTTATGTTCCCAGTAGAGTGTGAAAGGGCGTTTGAATTGGCTGGCAAAAGGGCACTATCTTGTATGTGAGCATATAAGAGCTGTTCGAAGTTCCTTTGCCATGCTACACTCACGAACTTCCTGACACGGAATACGTGGCAGCATCTAAACAGTCGTCCAATAAGCCAGCACGTCGTCAGCATGGAATTGTCGGTTAGCCGCCAGTCAGACGTCATCATTCTTCACGTCAACCACTGAACGTCAGCAATTGAAGTCTTGCCAGCCCAGCAGCGTCGTAAAGGCGTGTGCGAAGTAGTTTCGACGTAGTTTCGACGTCGGAGATCGACGTCGTTTGACGTCGAGCTTCTGACGTCGATCGACGTCGAATGCAGCACTTCGAACACATTGCCGGCGACGAGCTGTCCACTCAGGACAAATGCCGGCCTTAATAGTAACAATTGAATTGAGACCGTTGAAGAATTGAATTGAGACCAAATCCTGAAATCGATAAGTTTTTTTAGAGCGCGTCTGTTGGCTGCGAAGAACGCATTGCGAAATGTACATGTTCGCAATGTTCGAAATTACAAGTCATGCCAATCTAAGGTTTTGTCTCATGTGGTATGGCTAACACTGTAAAGATTTGCTCAATCTTTCTTTGGTTGACGGATTCTGTGCCCATCATCATTCACAATTCCGTATAAATGGCGATGCTGGCGTCAGCAATTTTTTAAGCGTACTTTGAACACACAAATGGCACCCCTCAGCTCACCTACCTTCCCCAACAACCTCGACGTTGATCGACGTCGGAAAGAATGCAGCACTTTGTACACGCCTTAAGTCTGTTGTAACTGGTGAGGACGGCTCGCTGTATTACAGCTCTCCGGTTCAGGGCAAACTTCCATATGTTTCCTAATGTTTGTAGGCCTTGCTCGCATCTCTGCTGAAAGTTAGTGAACTCTGTAGTTTTTTTTAAGTTGATTGAAGTTAGCCTAGCCAAGCTATAACGTACCTCGCCATTTGGAAACGCATGATACCGCCAAGCATCCCTCCAAGTGGATGCAAGTTCTGCACTCAAACTATGATTTTTTTCTCGAGGGTAAATGCAACGAGAAACCAGAGGCCTCAACTGCGATGCGTCACATCACATTCCCAATCCTAGAACTTCCCATTTGAGCAGTCAGTCACCAAAGCACCCAGCACAAATTCTCCCCACCCCCGTTCCTCACCCATATCACTCCCGCAGTTGCCGCTGCTGCTTTCTTTCTCACTGAGACGCATTCCAACAATTTGCCGCAACGTCGCGCAAACGCGTTCAGAGCAGTCGCAGCATCTATTTTTTCACCCATTTTTCGAAAACATCGCCTATCGTCCTGTCCGTTACAGCTCTTCCCTACGTACCGTAAAACTTTCTAGCGACCATGGCCTCCAAGCGACTCCAGACCCTATCGGGTGAGATTCTCCTTCGTCTAGCCGCATCCCTTCCAGAATAAGCATAAGACTTTGTAACGCGTTCACAATTTTTGCATCCATGATTCAGCCAGTGGTTTTTCAAAACCAACCTTCTTTCCTGAAATTTCGTATCCATCCAGCCTGGTTCTCCATACGGCGCAGCGCCACGTCCCATCCACGTCCCATCCACATCCTTCCCCTTCTCCTTATCGCATCAATCGTTCGTAGCACGTACGTCGCCGATTCTGGAATCGACGCTTGGGGCGCTACTACGTTCAACGCGACTAACTTGGAGTTCCTGACGTTCGCGGCGACCGCGCCGATTCGCGCATCTAGGAAGCTTGGCATCCTCCCTTTCCCCGGCTTTATCAAGTGTAAGCCTAAAGATGGCGTTTTCCACTCCAAATTAGTTTGCCAAGTCATTTTTGAGTCGACTCAAAAGTCATCCCCTTTCCCCGGCTTCATGTGTAACCCTAGAGATGGCGTTTTCCACTCCAAAGTAGTTTGCAAATTCATCTAGAGGTCCGAGGCGCACCCAAAAGCCACGTCGAATTCAAGATCGGACTTCATTCCATACACGAGCTACGGCTAGTAGTGGTCGCTGTGGTATTTTCCTTTATCAAAGTAAACTTTTGCATTGAAGGTATTTATTAGGTCAATAGTACAAGCCGTGCCGATGCATCCGCGGCGAACTCGCAGGTCGTTTCTGCACCGCTTTCCTTTTCGACAGGCTACCGCCACGTCTGTCTGGAAACTTCTCGTCCGTTCTCCGTTCCGTTGGATTCAAGTTGAATATTTGGGACGCTAGACGAGAATTGTCCGTGGTTGTTCGTCCGCCTTATAAAAACGAAGCCTCAATAACAAACCACAATGCAACCGCAAGGGTCTGTGCTCAGCATTCTGCTTTTGAGGCGCCTCAAAAACAGTGTGTGCTCAACAGGCTGTGTGTGGCAGGCGACGCGTTGGTGGCGTCTGAGCGCGGGTGGCCTCGTGCATCCTATCTCATCTTCGGGAGGGAACTCACAGAGCTGCTCTCAGAGCTGGATGCTCTCAGAGCTGGATGCTCTCAGAGCTGTGCCGTGATGCTGAGCCGTGCTGTGCTGCCGAGGCGTGCTGTCCCGCCCCGCCCCGTGCCGTGCCGTGCCGCACAGCGCCGTGCCGTGCCGTGTGGTGCCCTGCTGTACCGTGCTGTACCGTGCCATGCTGTGCCGCCGAGCTGTGCTGTGCCGTGCTGTGCCGTGCTGTGCCGTGCTGTGCCGTGCTGTGCCGTCCTGTGCCGTGGTGTGCCCGTGCTGTGCCGTGCTGTGCCGTCCTGTGCCGTGCTTGCCGTGCTGTGCCCGTGCTGTGCCGTGCTGTGCCGTGTGTGCTCGTGTGTCTGGCAGGTGCGCTGGTGGCAACGTAGGCAATGCGCACGACGGATTGGGGGGAGATGTTGGGGGGAGATGTTGGGGGGAGATGTTGGGGGGAGATCCCAGTGCAGCAGACGGATTTTGTCACGTGCTGAAGGCTTGTGTCACCTGCTGTGTGCTGTGCGGTGCCGTGCGGCGCTGTGTGGTTCTGTGTCGCAGGCGAGCTGGTGGCAAATCTGAATGCAGGAAGTGTACAGTCCATTGTAGGGGGAGATCCCGGTGTGAATAGCTTCTATCAATCTCTGAGCCCGGGCAGTGTACAGTCCATTGTTGGGGGAGATCCCACTGCTGACGGCGTGGCTTTGGTCAATTCCCGGTGTGAATGGCTTCTATCAAACTCTAAGCGCTTGTGACACCTGCCGTGCACTGTGCTGTGCTGTACTGTGCTGTGCTGTGTGGTGCTGTGCGACGCTGTGTGGTTCTTCTGTTTGCAGGCGAGCTGATGGCAAATATGAGCCCCGGCAGTGTGCGGTCCATTGTGGGGGGAGATCCCACTGCTGACGGCGTGGCACTGGTGCAAGTCTACAGGTGAGGGGCGCCGGGGGGGGTCCGATTTTCAAATGAAGGTGAAGGTGTGGGCCAAATTGAGTCCACCCTCGGGGGAGATCCCATCGCCGAGGGATCTGGTTCAAATGTTGCCGCACCGGTGCAAGTGTACAGAGGTAAAGCCTTGAGCCTTGAGGACCAGGAGAAGTGCTTGGCTTGGCAGTGGACAGTCCATTGTCGGAAGTAACCCCTGTGGCGGATGGAGTCACTCCGTGTTGCTGCTGTTGCTGGGTGCAACCTGCAGTGGCGTGCCCGGAATTTCAGGCGCCCGGAATTTCAGGCGCCCGGAATTTCTGGCGCCCGGAATCGCTGGTGTTGCTGGGTGCAACTTGCAACTCCACATGAAGAGTGCAGGCTGCGGCGCCCAGAGGCTCTGGTGCAAGGCTGCAGAGGTCTAGTCTAGCCATCCATTTCTCTCCTCCCCTCGCCCTCTCCACCCCCCATAAAAGGTACAACGGGAAGACCAACGTGCACATTCGCCTGCGAGCGCACGCGCTCTCCTCTTCCCCCATCGCCCAGACTGTAAACAAGGCACACTCGGGCATCAACGGCCCGCCTGTGTGGGTTGTCCTAGGGCAATGGACCCGCAGCAACAGCAACAATGCATACAACCAGCAGAAATGGTACTATGAGGCAAATAAGAAGTACCCTCCTGGGTCTGCTAGTTCCGTGTACTCTATTGTTAGGGAGATCGCCGGGGGTCCGGGGCGGTACTATGCGGTGGTGAGCTCTGTGACCCAGCCTGTTGGGGCGATCAGGGGGCAGTTCAGGCTCGCGCTGCCGTTTTCGCTGTACCCGTGGAATCCGTGCTAGTCTGGCTTGAAGTGTCATTCAGAGTGCTGCTGTTCCTGCTGTACCCGTGGAATCCATGCTAGAGTGGCTTTAAGTGGAGCTTCTATGGAGTTTAGAGTGCCGCCATTCCTGCTGTACATATGCAACGGCTGGGGTATTGCGATAGAGCCTTACAATGCGGAAGCGGGTCGATGCCAGGGGCATATAGGGAGACTTAAACCAGGAACCACTTGAACAGTGAGTGCTGCTGGCCTGCAGTGTCCTGGATAGTGTGAGTGGGTAAATTCTAATGGGTAGCCTCTGAATCAGTGGTCCTCTGGTGGTCTTACCCCTTGGGGGAGGGTGAAACAGGGTATTGGTCTCAGCAGGAGGGATATAGAAGGTGCGAGAAACCTGCTGGTGAGCTCACTTCCTGTCCGCTTAGGTGCCTAGATACCGGAATAGTGGATGTGAGGAGCATCCCACCTACCCTGCTGACACCCACCGTCTCTTCTTGTCTCCATCGAGTACCTATGTATATGTTTCCTGAACTGGGTTCTCAAACCTCCGCCTCTTCCACTGAATTCTCAACCGGCTTTACGGTTTGCCGATGAAGTCTTACATGTGCTGAATTGTATATCTACACTACGGCCTTGTTCTCTTCACCTCCTATGGTACACGCACATCCAATCCAAACCCTGCTGCATGATTGCCCAGATTCAACTGCAGCTATCACAGCAGTCACTCACAGGCTACGTTCATTATTATGACTTTTGAGGCGCCTCAAAACTCTTCACCTCCTATGGTACATGCACATCCAATCCAAACCCTGCTGCATGATTGCCCAGATTCAACTGCAGCTATCACAGCAGTCACTCACAGGATATGTGCATTATTACTTCCGTGGTACCTGTATCGGAAGGCAAAGCAATCATGTACCGTACCAGAGTTACGGTACATTATTCATTTGCCAATGACGGCTTTTTCAAGACGGCAGCAGACCAATACTATCGTTTTATCATACTGCCATATGTACAAATGAGAATTACACGTGGGGATGGCATGGAATGGTGACCAGACGAGATCATATGCCAGTAAGCCATCTGCCCCTTGAACGGGTGCTTTATTCCAGCTGCAGTAATGTGCCCTCTACCCTTTCCCCCCTCCCCTCTCACCAGCAGACTCACTTCGCTTTATTCCCGTATGGATGCCTTCCCCGCCGTGTCAGCAGCAGCACCAACGGACCAACCCTGCTTTATTCAAGCTGCAATGATGTGTCCTGCATCCCTTCCCCTCCCCCCCCCCTCCCTCTCCCTCTTTCCACCACCAGCCTCCTTTGCGTTATTCCCAGCTGGATGCCTTGTCCCTCCCCCCGGCCGTGTCAGCGGCACCAACAACAGACTACCTGGCTTATTACCAACCAAACCCCCTTGCCCTCCCCCTTGTCCTCCTCTTGCCCCTCATGTGGCGATCCAGGTTGATTTGGTACAGCAGTACACGCCGCTCGTACACACCCACCCCCTTGCTCTTGAGGCGCCTCAAAAGTGCTCTCACCACAAGAAATCCTCCCTCATCCTCCCCTCGCCTCTAATGTGGCGATCCAGGTTCATTTGGTACAGCAGTGCATGGCGCTCGTACACACTTGTGCCCCTGCTCTCACCATGGGAGATCGTTCCCCTGCGCCAGCAACAGCAGCTGAAGACTCAAACAGCCCATTCCCTCCCTAGGGGAGATGTCATCCCCTGGACCACCAGCAGTGCATGGTGCTGGTGGTCACCACCAGCTATACACACTTCTGCCCCTGCCCTCCCTATGGGAGATGTCCTCCCCTGGGCCACCAGCAGCAACAGCAGCAGAAGACTCCTCACACTGCCCATTCCCTCACTCTGGGAGAGGGTGCGCTTACACCCTTCTGCCTCTGCCTTCACTAGGGGAGATGTTCTTTCCTGGACCAACCGCAGCAACAACAGCAGCAGAAGACTCCTCACACTGCCCATTCCCTCACTAGGGGAGAGGGTGCGCTTACACCCTTCTGCCCCTGCTCTCACTAAGGGAGATGTTCTCCACCGGGCTACCAGCAGCAGCAACAGAGGCAGAAGACTCCTCACGCTGCCCATTCCCACAGGGATGCCTCGGCCCTCTCTGCTTCACAGGGATGCCTCGGCCCTCTCTGCTTCACAGGGATGCCTCGGCCCTCTCTGCTTCACCGCTCACCCCTCTCTCGCCCCTCACCCCTCTCTCGCCCCTCACCCCTCTCTCGCCCCTCACCCCCCTCTCGCCCCTCACCCCCCTCTCGCCCCTCATTTGGCGCTCCAGGTTGACTTGGTAAAGCAGCGCATGATCATCGTAAACACTTCTGCCCCTGCTCTCACTAGGAGAGATGTCCTCCCCTTGGTCACCGGAAGCAAGAGAAGCAGAGTCACACTCCCAGATGGCGTCCCGCGCCAGTGCATACCCCCCATGCACTCGCAGAGAAGGGCCAGCCACGGGAGCAGCAGCAGCAGCAGCAGCAGGAGCAATAGCAGGAGCAATAGCAGTACCAGTAGCAGCAACAGCAGTACCAGTAGCATCAACAGCAGTACCAGTAGCAGCAGAGTCACACTCCCAGATGGCATCCCGCGCCAGTGCATACCCCCCACGCACTCCCAAACATGCACCAGGAGCAGCAACGGCAGCAGGAGTAGCAGGAGCAGGAGAAGCAGGAGCAGCAGCGGCAGTAGCGGCAGCAACAGCGGCAGCAGCAGCATTAGCAAACTCACACGCCCAGGTGCTACCATGCGTAAGGGCATAGCCCTCGGGAACAGCTGGCAGTGTGAATGGGCTGCTCCGCCGCTGCATGCCACGTGCATGCACACGCGCTCTGAAGCTCGGCTTGTGAGGCGACTCAAGCCCAGGTCTGCTGAAACTCGGCTCCACAGGCCCAACAGCTGTGAGACGAGCCACATGGCTTTGAGGCGCCTCAAAACTAGACGCCCTGAAGCCTGGCTTCTGAGAAGTCTCAACGCCATGTGCGCGCACAGGTGCGCTGAAGCCCGGCTGCACAGGCCCAACCGCTTTGAGACGACACACAGGGTCGCTCAACGCTGCAAAAGCTGACTTATGAGACCTGGCGTCACACGAGGTGCATCCCCCATAAGGGGCGTACCACTGATGGCCTGGCATGGATAACAATCTCCAGGACGACACTCCCCTTTGCTCGTCTGCTCCACCTGCACCTCCCTCATCATCCCCCCCTGCAGCCTTTTCCTCTTTTGCCTCTTTCTCTTTTGCCTCTTTCTCTTCTGCCTCTTTCTCTTCTGCCTCTTTCTCTTCTGCCTCTTTCTCTTCTGCCTCTTTCTCTTCTCGCTCTAGGCTCAACCCCAAACGAAGGGACAGATCCACTGACCCACACGCCGGGCTTCTGGCTGATCCCGGGTTCCTCGCAAGAGATGCGTTTTGAGGCGCCTCACAGCTCACCTCAAGGCCTCTGCCTGATCCCGGGTTTCTCGCAACAGATGCGGCTGCAGTGGAATGGGCGGGAGCACTGCTGCTTGGGTAGGGGGTTACGGCATGGTGGGGGTTGGCAGGCGAGAAGCTCAGAGAGAGTGTGCTTTGAAAGGGAGAAGAAAGAGGTGGTGTGGTGGCAGCATCGGCTGCGGAGGGAATGGCGGCAAAAGTTTTTGAGGATATGTGTGGTTCCGGGGCCTTTGGGAGGCTGTCAGGGTGTGTGTTGGGAGCAGAGGGAGAGGGAGGGAGGGCAGGGGAGTGTAACAGGGGTTGGTTGCCTCCACTGCAGGCCCTTTGAAAGGGTAAAAGACTCAGCTGTCGTTCCATCTCCTGTGCAGATGCTTGCACGTGCTGCTGCTGCTGCTGCCGCTGCTGCTGCCGCTGCTGCTGCCGCAGCTGCCACTGCTGCAGCCGCTGCTGTAGCTCCTGCTGCAGCTGCTGCATCTGCTGCAGCTGCTCCTGCTCCTGCTGCTGCTGCCGCCACCACTGCTGCTGCTGCTGCTGCAGCAGCAGCAGCAGCTGGTGCTGTAGCTGCTGCTGCAGCTCCTGCCAGTCTCGCGAGCCAATCCAGTCGCGCCACGTGGACACGGTGCTTGCATTCTCCCCCCCACTATCCACACGCTCCCCGTTTCCCTCAAAGCGAAACGGCCAACTTTCAGCCCTTCCCGCCTTTCCCCCACTCTCCCCACTCTCCCTGCCACCCCCTCTTCGTTCCCCTGCCCCACCCCCCACGCCCTGGCCAGATTCCCCCAGCAGCCGCCCATCCCAACTGCAAGCAGCTGCTAGTGCCTCCGCTCGGGGAGTGAAACCTTCGGGTTTGCCACTGGCAGCATTCTGTGCGGCTGGGACCTCCGCGAGGGCGATGGTGGGACTACCAGCGCTGCTGGTACCAACCCACGGGCCGGGCAAGGTCCCTTCCACAGGAGATCTGCGCTGCAGGTCCCTTTCCCCGGAAAGCTGCGCCTCGGCCTCGCCGTGCTGGCTCCAAGTACGCGGTGCTCGGGGAAGGAGACCGGTGCTGTGCGGTCCAGTACGGTTGCTATTTGATGTGATAGTGTTGCACGGCAACTGAGGTGGCTCAGGAATGGGAGGCGCGGCGGCGGTCCTCGTCATGACTCTGAGTCGACCCACTTTATAGCTCTGCTCTGCTTTATAGGGTTTAGGGTGCTCTGCCGGTGGCTCTGACTCCCGCGGCCTCTTCCGCCGCGCCTCCTCCGCTGACCACTGCTGCTGGGCGCCGGTAGTAACAGGCGGCGAGGCGAATCCACTAGAATCGGCCGGGGGTGCAGCGGATGCGATCAACCCGCCGCGTATCATGGCGACTCGGAGAAGCTCCGCGTTCACAGCGGCGGTGTCGTCGTCCCCGTGTGGCCCACAGCGGTCCGATGCACCGGCGGCGGCGGTGGCGCCACGGATGATGAGCGACTCCAGCTCGTGCGATACATTGCACCTGGACGCGATGCGGCCTCCTCCTCCCGCCGCCGCAGCGTGTTCGTTTCTGTGGGGCAGGGATGCCGCGGCCGCTCCCATGGTTCCGCTCAAGTCGACCGTGTGGCGGCGGACGCGCAGACTGTCGCCGCGCGACGGAACATGATACGGGGGGTAAAAAAGTAGCTTGTTCGCGATGAGAAATAGGAGATAGTCGCTGTCAGAGGAGGCTGTCATGATGGATGATCACTGGCAGTTACGGCAAGAGAGAAATGTGATTGCCGAGGAGAAGAAACGGGACAGCAGCTTTGTTAGAGAGGGGCAGGCCGGGCGGCTCGTCAGGCTTTTGGCGGACTGACGGGGTTGTAGTACAAGTAATGCAATGCCTTGCACCCCTTGCGCCTAGTAGGCGCTTGAACGTTATAAGCAGCTAACAAGGAGAGTGATAAAACTCGAAGAACCAGGCGAGGCATGATGAGAGTGTTGAGAGTGTTTTCGAAGCTTTATAAGCTGGCGCCAGCTTTGGTACGCTATTACCTGGGTCGGGTCGAGGGTGTTGGTGTTCCGAACCATAAGAAGGAGGAGGAGTTCACCTCCAGCTAGGCTCGGGATACGAGACCAGTGTCAGTGTCAGCACTGTTGTAACACCTCGCTACCCACTGGGTCAAAACGAGGGTGTTATTTGGCGCAGCGGAGTGCCCTTAACACAGCCCACAGGCGTTACACTCGTCCCCCCCTGGTGCCAACGTCCCCGTTGGCCCTGGACTTCAGGAAGTCGGCCCCCTGCCGCTGGGACCTAGATTTCGCAGTGCTGCTGGCTGCGACTTCGCTGGTTGCTCAGGCCAGCGGAGGATCGTTCGCTGGGTTCGAGCTGGTTACAACCGCACTTCAGTTCTCGCCAAAGGCGGAAAGTGTGGTCCAGCCGGGATTTGAACCCTAGGCTCTGATTCCAAATGTAACACCTCGCTACCCACTGGGTCAAAACGAGGGTGTTATTTGGCGCAGCGGAGTGCCCTTAACACAGCCCACAGGCGTTACAACTGTAGTGAGATTCTCCATCACATGTACCACAGCGTGTTTCTCCCGGCGTTTTCTTCGCCGAAACAGACGGGCAGCATGTGCCGCCAGCTACTTGCAGCTCGCGCGACGCGACAGCTCCCAATAATCTTCGAGCGCGCGGGTAGTGCGCTCCGTCTGTTCGACAACGCTGGCAAGAAAGGCACGTGAGCTAAATCGCGATCCTTCGTGCCATGTGACACTGACCATGTCACTTCAAATAAAAATGGGCGCATCGTGACAAGAAAATCGATCGCTGCGAAACGAATGCCGCCCTGGTTACGTCAGTTAGTTCGCGACCGGCATCGCAGCGTACTGTTCCTACACGTGACAATCGCACATGTCAGGTTCCTTTAATCCCGGCTTCCGATTGGTCGACCAAGATAACGCGTTTTCCGCAAAGGTCGCGAAGGATTGTCGCCACAAACGAGTACGGCGGTCACTTGGAAGCACGCAAGCTGCGCTTCTGCCAGCCTAATAGATTCAAACGTGGCAGTTTGAAACTCCCAATAACCACCGAAGACGACAGCTGCTTGGGTGAGGAAGATATGGAATAGAAAGGGACTATTGACGATTCTATTCGAATCGAACACTGACTGCTGATTCACTTTCTAGAAATGAAGGGGGGACGAGGGGAGGGCGGGTTGTGGGCGGGGTTTGAAGGGATAACCTGGGAGACGCGGGATTTTGGCTGGCAGGGATTGTCCGAAATACAGCAACGGGAAAGTGGGGGGAGTGAGGGGAAACGAGGGGCGGGGAGGGAGAACATGGACAAAGCGGGAAGCCGCCCAGCTGGGAAAGGAGAGGCGATGAAAGACGGGGACTCGTTGGCCTGTGCTTGGGGCCAATAATACACGGGGGAGAAACGGGGGAGGGTTCGTGTGGCTGCTGTGAAGAGAAAGAGGGGGGGGGGGGGGGGGGGGGGGGCGGGGGGAAGCTGGAGGGAAGGGGAGGGGAGAGGAAGTGGGAGGTTGGGTGTGGTGCATCCTAGGTCCAGTATAGTACACCGCGATATAAAATTACAGGCATGTTTTGGGAGGATCCGTTGACTATGATAATATCTCATCTGAACTTAGCTACTTCACATATGACATGTACGTATTTGTGACTCTATTTTACAACCTGAGAATAGCTCAAATCGGTTTGCTACTCATTTTTTGCATGCTGCCCAGGAATTGCATGTTTCGTTGAGAGTCGGTTTACAAGCGTTCCTGATGATGATGCTGATGTCTTCTCATGTTAGCAATATTGCACCATTGACCATTCTTATACATGCCGCTGTTTGTTGTCGGCCTGATTGTGTGTTCGCAATTTGTTCGACCAAAGTATTATTGCAATCGTGAATGCGTTGTACCGTGTGCGCTCACGACATAAGTTACGTGGCAAGTGGGACGACGCAAAAAACGTTTGACTAGCTTGAAGTTTCACAAACCAAAGGCATCTCACTGTAGGTGTACGAGGCGAGGACCACCATGGAGCCGGGCATGGTGCCATTGATGGTGGCACGCAAGCACCATGTTGTTAGACAACGAACATAATGAATGATATTAAAATGGGCGTACAGCTGGCACAAGTATGAAAACATACCCTATACATTACCACCCAACAACTCTGGCCAGCACTACTAGCCTAGCCCTTGCGACAAGAGGCAACAAGGCAGTCAGCAAGCAAGGACAACAAACGTATGAGGTACAATAAATGGCGGTATTACTAGCCCAGCCGGAGAGACAAAAGGTAACAAGGCCAATTATAGAGTTTTGATAAACATAACAAAGATGTGCATAGTACAAAGATCAAGAAATTAGCAAGTGAGGACCTGATGGGACAAGGCCAAGCCGTATGCAGAGCCACTGATGATCAAGTGACTGGAGCGCCTTGGTGACGATATTAGTGGTGTTGCCTCTTGAGACCAGGTATAATTACAGTGCCTGGCCGCGCTGGTGCAGCTCAAGCCGCAGAAATTACCGCAACTGGATGTATTTTGTTTCCCCCTCTAGTATAGGTTCGTGATATCGGATGATCATGGCCTTGTTATCAGCGAAGAGGAACGAGGCAGAGTTAGGAGGCTCACCTAAGTTAGTGAGCAAGAACGCCAGCCCGCAGAGCTCCTGAGAAGCCATAGCATTAGTGTAGAACTCTGCCTCACATTTGTGCCACCGACGACGAGCGGGTGGACCTCCACGTGAGAGCTAAGGCGCAAGGCTAGACCACTAGCCCTAAGAATATCTGATTGTCTCGACCTCGTCTGGCCACAAAGTGTTAGTGTTTCCTGTAAGTACAAATGGCTGTCGTACTCCAAGCTTAAACCCTATGTTTGATATACTCACCAAATAGCGCAATTCCCTCATACAAGCCGACTAGCGCTCGAGTCGTCATCTTTCAATCGCAACAAAGTAAGTAAGAATGCTGAGAGGATGTGCGAGGTCTGGGCGATTGCAAATCATTAGGTATATGGCATTCCACCAACGCAGCGTATGGACCACTGGGCTAACATATATAGGAGTGGGATGTGCAGAGAAATACTTAAGCCCGAAGAGCTGGAGGATTTGTTGCACCATCTGTGACTAAGTGAGGGTGATGGTATGCGCTGCTTTGTCCCTGGCGATAGGGAAAGGAGCCGAGAGCATATGGCTAACAGACATAGGAGTGGGACGTGCAGAGGGGAACTGAAGCCCGAGGCGCTGGAGGATTTGTTGCACCATGTATGACTAAGTGAGAGTGATGGTGTGCACTGCTTTGTCCCTACCGATCTATAGGTCACCCAGGTCAGTGCAAGTGTGTCTCCCCAGCAACTCGGCCTTCACTGACGTAAGTGCGACTCTGTCGGGGGTAGCAAAGACGAGGTCGTCATCATAAACAAAAATGAAGCAGGAGTCTTGCAAGAGCTAACGGACGGAGAAGGGTCTGTTGAGGACGGTTAGAAATGTAGGTCAGCCATAGCAGTGTGCATAGTGTCATGCCACTCATAAGGAGCCTAGCAAAGGCCATAGATGGGGTACCGAAGTCTCCACTGGGTCCCAGGGGGGAAGGACTCAGCGAATCTAGGCGGACAACGAAGCAAGTCTGCTTGTGGAGGCTGCCCTAGAGAAGTTAGGCGAGTTAAGCTCGTAGTCGCGATGTGTTGCGATATGCAGCCGTACCTGAGTGGCCTTCCTCAAGGTGGGGGAGAAGGTTTGAAATATTTCTACCCCCTTAAAGACAAGCTTTGCTTCAGGTGGCCGCTTCACCTTGAAGATTCACATGCCATTGAAGATGATTTTCTCGAGATTTGAAACTGCGTCGACATTGGTGCCTGTAGATTTTCAAGATGTTATCTCTGCATCCATGGCTGTTATCCACTGAAAGGCTCAGCATCCTAAGAGTGCCTCAGCGTAAGTGCGAGGGGTCGGAATGTCAAAACCGACTAGGTCGCCCTCAGGGGCTACCCGCATGGCACAGAGATGAGGAGAAACGGTTGCAAGGAAAGCCAGCTCGTGGGCAAACTAGTCGCATGCTGGCACGTGGCTGGCATGGCTAGCGCGGCTGGCCTAGGTTGGCGGGCTGGCATGGTTGGCGTGGCTGGTGTGGACGGCTAGCGGAATGGGCGCGGGCTGATGCAGTGTTAGTGCGCTGGCGCACGGTCGGTGCGAGCTAGCGTGGGCTGGCGGTGCTAGTGCGCTGACACGCGTTTAGTGCAGGCGGCGCACGGGTGGTGCGAATTGGGGCAGGCGGGGCGACGGGGCTGTAAGGTGGGGTGCCAGAGCAGGGTGCGACGGGGCAGCGAGAAGGGCGTTACGAGCCAGCTATGCGGGGCATGATAAGGCCGCTAATAGGAGCGCGACGGGGCGGCTAGGTGGGGCGCGACGTGGCGGCTAGGTGGTCGAGGTTATGCACGACTCTTATGTGAAGAATGAACGAGGAATGAGATGAACTAGGAAGCAGGTGGGTACAAATATGAAAACCTAAAAGAGTTGTACCCCATATTGTCAACCCCACTACAGCCTACAATATGGTTCGGACACACCCCCATAGGCAAAGTGGGGGACAAGCAAGAGAACAAGACAAGG